TAGAGAGAACAACCTAGTGAAGCATCACATTGACACCGGGCAGGCCAGACCTATGACCATTGTCTAACTGAATTCCTGGAATAATGACTAATTGTTTCGCAGAAACACATTATGCAGGCTACTCTAGCTCAAACCTGTGTGTATCTTCTGTATGAAAAGCAGCAGTCAGCCAGAGGTTGATTGTGTGTGGAGCGAGGGGTCAACACGAGAGTTGATTCGACTTCGAGAATCAAATCTCGATAAAATTTAACTCGTCCCGTACCCCAAACAAAAGGGTTTGGGAACAAATTGCGGTTGAACTTAGACCTATGTTGGTAAGCTTACATGCATGTTTTTAGATAAAATCTCAAAAGTAAGCAGGGAAAAACTGTTTAATATAACTATCTTAGTAAGATGAATAAAACTTTAAAGATTAGATTCAAATATCTCAATAATTTTATACGATTGGTTGTTTGTTGAAACTTGCTATCTTACAATTACACACGTAACATAACCACATTGGAAACAATCACACGAGTCATTGCAATACTACAATATAAAAATATCCTTCAGGTGACAGGTTTGCAGGTAGAAAACAAGTGGAAAAACCTGGTCAGAAAATACAAAAGTGTTGTTGACCACAATGCAAAATCCGGCAATGGTCGGAAAACATGGGCGTTTTTTGATGACATGGAAAATGTCCTCAAGGACGCCCCTAACATCCGGCCGCATTTTACTGCTGGCTCTATGCCAGGAGCCTCCGGTGCTGTGCCTGAGGAGGGGTCTACACCAGGATCCTCCACGTCCACTGCAGGAAATTCTTTGGGTAATGAATTTTCTTGCATGAACCAGAATTGAATTACAGTATATACTCGTGTGTAAGTCGATCTTGTATATAGGTCGACCCGATTTTGTCCAAGAATTCAATCATTTATTATATGCCTCGTGTATAGGAATTTGCCTGCAATACCGTATAATATGATATGATAAGGACATTATACGGTGAGTTATAAGTTAGTGAGCTTCATCTGCTAAAGGCACTACACATCTTTTCATTACTAATTGGTACATAATTTTAGTCATGACTGTTTACTGGTAATAACTGGTAAATATTTTTTATGTCTGAAGCTCAAGAGTTGCTCCTAGCCAATTCCCATCATGCACAGATTTCAACCAATTGAAACTATTACTCGTGTATGGGTCGACTACTCCCCTTTTTTGCCGAAAAATGTGGCCCTCAAAACGAACTATGCACAAGTATATACGTTAATTTTGAAACTTGTGAATTTGTTTTTAATAAATTGGAAATTATTACGCCAGATTCGACCACTGAGACTGCTAGCAAGAGGGGGCGGAAGCGCAAATATGTGTCAAAGTCTGATGGTCTTCGAGCATTATTAATCGAGATGAAGGAAGATACAAGAGTGGCCGAGGAGGCAAGACTGAAGGCGGCCAGAGAGATGCATGATGAGAAAATGCAGATGTTATCTGCATTTCTAGATGTTTTTAAGTCGAGTAAATAAATGTGATTATGAAAACCATCCCTGTTAAAATGACTATTGCGAGGTTTTTGCTCAGAAAAACTAAATATAGCTGAATATAGTCTCACCTGACAGCGACACTAGTACACTACGACCACGAGAATATACGCTACACCACGTACGCCATACGCACCGGCAACTCTGTTCTTCAAGCGAGCAGTCCGCAACAAACTCCCACAAGTACCTGAAATGGACCCAGTCGCAGAAATAGTGCGCCAGCGCGACTCCCAGAAAAAGGGGAAAATGTAAGTGCATGCGGACAATAAACGCTATGTCAAACCCAGCGACCTGAAAGTTGGTGACCCAGTCTTGGTCAAGCGCCCGTTCAACATGACCAAAGGAAACACCCCATATGAGACCACTCCACTGACAATTGTGTCCAAGAATGGTAGCATGATCACTGCCAACGGTGAAGGACGATGCGTGACCAGAAACAGTTCCTTCTTCAAGAGACTCTTGTTCACTCCCGAATTGTCAGAGTTACCAGAATCAGATGCACATGATTCAACCATCGAAAATGAGGGTAACTCAGTGCCAATGCACCCAGGGGTGAGTCAGACCTGAATTTTGAAAATTCAGATGAACCTGATAACTCCCATGCACCCAGTCAATTTGGACAATACTGTAACCCCAGATCTGCAGATGTCAGATCAGACAATACTCCAGTGCACACAGCATCCCCGAAGGTTGTCCTAGATCAGCAAGAAACTCGCAGGTCAACCAGAGTCCGAAAACCTGTCGTGAAACTCAACCTGTGAAATTGACAGCAAGCTAAGCCTTTGTTCACAACTGTGTGTGGTGTGTTCAGAAGACTTTCGATATTAACTATGGAGACTGAACAATATGTATTTGTGTTACAGTTTAGTGTGTTTGCCAAGGTTCATCTTATAATTGAGTAATCTGATCAAGTCTGGTTAAATGCGTTACAGTTTGAGTGACAGAGTAATCGAATATTCGGTAATTGAGTAATTACCTCGATTAGCATTGATTAGTAAAGTTGGTTAGTTTTGACAAATCGTTTAATCGTCAAAGCCAGATTTGTTTGTTTCCAGTTATCATACTGTTTGAACCTCAAGAGTTAAATATTTTATAATTGACCTGTTTGGTGTAATAATTAGTACATGTATCTTAAGTACCCCATGGAACTATCTACAAGGAAGGGGATGTCACGTTCAGTGATGTGTCTGGTGTTTATGTTCTCTGCCACCAGGTGTCAGTACAGTACGACCACGAGAATATACGCTACACCATGTAGTCACGTTAATTGCGTATCCCTGTCTTCCTGCTTATGTTGTATCCAGCATAGTAAATAGAGAACGTTACAGCATTGAACAATTTTATATCTAGAAAGAAATTATTGAATTATTGATTATAGGTGCACATTGCAATCAATAGCAATTTAAATCACTACACTATTAAATTGCAAGTGCATTAAGTATGCGTTAATCATTATCAACAACACAACAACAACGGCGTCGTAATTCTACTTTGTTTTAGTGTAAAACAGAGTGCAATGTGAAAAATACTATTATTACACCAGACTGCACTAGGGGTTGTGAGAGATGTGTAATGTATTCATCTCCAATTAGTATTAACACGGACAATAGTATAACTGGGTCAATCGCGAAATTGGCAAGTTTATTTCACCTGCTCTAAATGACTATTGGTAATAATTTGTATCATATACATCATCTATACAAAATGTATTTCATCAAGTGGTGTGATGCTCTTGAAGGTACATTTTCAATCGAAAGTGTTAGCAAAATTACCACTTGAATTTTATACAAGCGAATATATTTATAGAGAAAATGTTGCCGTTCAGTATGTGCAGCACCATCACATATTTTTAATTTTAAAATGTAATGTCAACAAAAGGTGCCTTTCCCACCCACATATAAATGTGTAACTTACGTGAATTGCTGGATTAACATATCTAACTTATGCAGATCTGCCTAACAAGCATGCTAATGTTGATTAACAGGTTTAGGATATTTTAAACCTGCATCAACAAAGGAGCGTCGCTTCATTGCATGGCAGACCTGGGACCTACTCAGGATAGCAGTGTTTTGGTTTTAAAGGATTAAGCGAGGACTTCTTCTCCAGACATGGCCACGCATTTCATGTCACCGCTACGCGTAAACGGTAGTGCAATCGAAAGTTTATTTTCAAGGCTAAAGGCCTACTCTGGGAGAAAATTAACAAGTATTAGTGTGGGGATTTCAGGGGGGGAGTAAAGAGTTGTGGAGATATCAGGGGGGGATGACGTCATACAACCAGAGACCGGCCAACGCAACATAGATAGAGAGTTTTTCTGAGGGGAAGGGGGGTCCCAGGGCTACCAGATGTGGGAGGTCAGGGAGTTGCGGCATCACGTACGCGCGCAGGGGGAGATAGCGGCGCCGGCAGAGCACGTGGCAGACGGGGGGGTGTGGCGCTCGGACATACACTGGACTAAGGGGGGTTGCATCA